TTCTCCTCAGTCTTGACCAGGATGTCACAGGAGAGATATCAAGGCAGATGTCAGGATGTTGAAGTGATCATTAGATATTAAGCCACCTTCCCACCATAAAGGGTTAGACTGGAAGTTGCTATGGGAACTGATATTAGAACAAAAAGAGTTATGAAGCTATCTCATTCTCCATCAGCTTCTCCAATGCAATATTCGGATTTACTTAAGGGCAGGATGAATGATAGATGACTGATTCAACTTATGCCTGAGATCAGTACAGGGTACTGTGGATTAGATCCAGCTCAGACTGTAAAAACATGGTAGCTAAAGATGGGACTGAAAAGGAGGAATAAAAAGAAGGTGATCTCGTTTTGGTGAAACAAATGGTGATACTTGAGAGTTGGCTGTGTGCCACCTTCAAGAATTATTTTCAGTTTTCCAGTGTCTCTTTTGGGGATCTGTGGACTAAGAAAAGACTCCAGGAGGAGGAGGTGTTTGTTGTGAGTAGGAGCTGAGTCAAGACACTGAGGACAGCCAAGGGACATAATGGCTTTGTTGGGAATAAGAGTACCATGAGAGAGACTGGCCAAAGTGAACATCCAAGGAGTCTTGGGTCTTAGTTAAATCTGGCTACCAAAGAAAACTCCTTCAGAATAGGTAACTTAAATGAGAAACATCTGCTTCTTAGAGTTGAGAAGGCTCCTCAAGCCTGAGTCTGGTGCATAGGTCTCAGCATAACCAGAGCACTTGCTCCCCGATTTGCAGATGGCTGCTTCTTCATTGGAGGAGAACTATCACTGAGTTTCTTTATGGTTTTTCTTATGAGTTATGACTTGCTTATTTATGAACCCTAATTCATGTGTGTCTAACCTTATGGCCTTGTCTAAACTGAATTACTTTCTAAACACCATCTCTAAATACCATTAGATTGGGGCTTAAGTTCTCTCATAGATGCATATTCTGTCCATAGTGGCAATCACGAGGGCATCTGTATTCAGCTTCACTTCTTTTCCACCAGGAACCATGAGCTTTTGTGAACTTGTAGAACCAGAAAGCTTATAGTCACCCAGGTATCTTGACTGCATACTCTGATCATTCTGAAGTACATCTGACTACTGATAGAGATGGGGAGGAGGGAGAGAGACAGAGCAGAACTCTTGCATTGTTATGAATCCTAGCCTCAAACAGGTGCCAACTGCTGGAGGCCCTAAGTTGTCTGTTTAATAAGGTTCGGGCTTCCTATAATCATATCAGACTACACATTCTGAAAACTGAGCTGAACACGTGCTTTCAATATAAAATAACAATGGAATCTACTTTTGCTGGTAATGAAGGGGGAGATGGTCCAAGTGCTCCTTCCGAGGGGTGATTGTGTCTCACTTTCCCCTTAATTTTGTTCCGTGATCACTGTGCACATAGGTTGTGCTTGTCAACACACTGGCCATGTCTTTACTACTCATTCCGTCTTCTAGGATCTTGCAGAAAGTAAGCACTTTTTTTGTGGAAATAATGAAACAAGGAGCAGAGAGTTTAAGATACTTTTACAAGTTTATAAATTATAGGGATAGAATTTAAGGTCATATTTATATCCTTCCAAATATTTTTTCTCTGAATTATTAAGCTGACTCTATCTATACTTGGAAAAGTATCATTACATGCTACCTATATAGTAGGAAGGAGTGCTAATGGGGTCTCACATACGTCGTGTATATCTTATACAAACATGAGCTAAACTCTTTCTATTAGAGATACATTGAAAAATCACCTGGCTAATTTTTCTCCATTTGATTCCATATTTGTGCAATTCATTGAGAGAAGGGGGGCAGACATACATGTATATACACATGATAGACAGACAGATAGACAGATGATAGATAGGTAGATAGATAGATAGATAGATAGATAGATAGATAGATAGATAGACAGAACGAATCCACATGTGAATTTCATCATCATCATGTAAGTTGTAGTAGGCACTAAAGTACTGAAACAGAAAGAGGAGTATTAAGTAGATATATTCCCCACAAGAGTTTACTATGAGTCTGGAAAGAGAAAGGTAATGTTCATGACAAACTTATCCAATAATAAACAGCACAATAACATGTCTGTCACTCAATGTGAGAGAGGGTGACTCTTTTCTGCTTTCAGAACATCCAAAGAAATCTTCATAGAAAAGACAAGTTATTACTAAGTAGTTTTATTTCCATATTTTACAAAATAAAAAGAAGTGTTTAGGTTGAGCATGGTGGGAAGCAAGGATAATTTGCAGAAATGAGAATAAATATAGCTGACAAAAGCAAAAGGCAGTGGTGGTGGTGGTGGAGAGTAGTCTGTCTTCTAAGAATGAGTCTCAAAACTAGAAGAATGGAATTAGTGATGGCTCTGTTGTTTCTGCAGAGACATACAATCAACTATCTGAAAAGGATCTAGTAAGAAGTAAGAGCCCAAGTTGTGTAAGAAAGCAAGCTGTGCATGCCATGAGCAAGCAAGCCAGTAAGTAGAATTTATCCTTGGTTTCTGCTTTAGTTTCTGCCTGTAGTTATCTGCCTTGAGTTCCTACCCTGGCTTCTTTTGATGGCGGACTGTGACGTGGAATTGTAAGCCAAATAAACCCTTTCTTCCCCAAGATACTTTTGGCTGTGGTGTTTTTAATCACAGCAACAGAAACTCTAAGACATTATTTAAAAATGCATTTTGATTCATAGTCCAATGAACCACAACAAGCACAAAATCCATGCCCAGAAAGAATCTTGCCTATTACTGACTAGCATTTGTGGTGCTGGAAGATATTTGTTTACACTATGGGAAGAGAAAAGCAATCATCGATGTTGCCGAGCTACAAACCCTGTGACCTACAACAATGACCTCACTGCAAGGTGTACTGGTACGAGTGCCACAAATGTGGAGGGGGTAACCAATCAATTTTTTGTTTATAAGATTTAAGGCACACTCTGTGAGATGGAACCTGTACCTGACATTGGTGATGTGGCCAAGAATCTGAGACTAGATATGTCTTGGGCCTCAAAGAAAGACCTATCACTGTTACTATTGATATGCTAAAGGACCATAATGATAAAATGATTCTTAATGACATATTGCTATATCCATAGACCAGTACAACACTCAACCCTTGTCAGAGAAGCCTCTTCTTGCAGTAGATGATAATTAACACGGAGACCCACAATTTGAAAATGTGCAGAGAGTAAGAGGCCTTGGAGCACTCAGTCTTAAGTAGAATGTCTTTATCAAGCCCCTCTCCTCAGGGATCAGGGATCTATACAGAAGAAAAGGTAGAAAGACTGTGAAGACCAGAGGCCATGGATGACTCCAAGGAGACAGTATCACCCAGAAACAACAAAGCCAGGACACATGAACTTAGAGAGACTGTGACAACATATACAAGACCTGTACAAATTCAAACCAGACAAGATTCCAGCACTGAGAAGGGGACGTGTATGTTGATCACCATTCCTGACAAAGAAGTTATTTGAAGTTGACACCTGCTTAGAAAATAAAAATCAGTTTTCTCCAATGGAGTGTCACTGGTGTGTGTCAGCCTCACTCCAGGACAGGTCCCATGCACAACACAAAACAGACATCATGGTGTGTGTGTGTGTGTGTGTGTGTGTGTGTGTGTGTGTGTGTGTATGTGTGTGTGTGTGTGTGTGTGTGTGTGTGTGTGTGTGTGTGTGTGTGTGTTTTGTTGTTGTTGCTTGGGTATTTTTTGTCTTACTGGGATTTGTTTGTTTTGACCTTTATTTTTTTGTTTCATTTTGAGAGGGGGTGGAGAGAAAGAACACAAAATGGGTGGGTAGAAAAGTGGAGAGGATCTGGAAAAAGTTGTGGGAGGGGAAAGAATATCACAAAATTATTTTGTTTATAAAATACTATTTTGAAAAGAACAGAGCACACAACAAATTTCCAATAGCTGTAATACTATAGAGGCAAAAAAATTACAGTACAAAAGGACTGAAGTTTTGGTGGAAACAGTAGTGACTTACATTTCAGATCAATGTGTTACACTGCTCTGTGGAGAAAATGGCGCTGTGTTTCTTCTCTTCTCTGTAATTTTACATCAGTAACACAATTGTAGTTTGTTTCCTAATGTACTTGTAGACTTTGGAATAGCAAAGAAAGTGCTCCAAATACACTGAACTCTTGTAGATAAAGGACTTGTACTTAAAATTCCTTATCATTGTTCTGGGAGTTGTATTGTTGCTTTAGAGTTCGTCTTCAAATGGTTTGTGTGAAAATGCCCCCCTGCTATCCCCTGAGGGAACAAGGAGGTGAAGAGGTGGCCCCTAACTTGTCAACCCCGTTTCTCACAGTGTCTTGGTAAGAAGCTGTGATATCACTTTAAGAGAGAGTGCAGATGCAGGAGGGGAGGAGAGTGAGTAATGTATGTGGCACAACTCTCACTGACAATATTCATATTGTCATTTCTATTTGAAGTGTTGACAGTGGAGTGAGCACAGCTAGGAATGACTGATGGACAGCCTGGGACACTCTCATCATCTACCCCCCTCACAGCCCTTTGTTCAATGTGTCTCTGACGTGAAACAGAATCAGCTCAGAAGGGGCACGGTCATGTTATCTAGGACTTCAGACAAATTTATTTTAGGTTTGACTTATTTTGCTGCATGATTTTGTAAAAGTTGATCTTTCTCTAATCATAAGATGACTGATTGAAACATGCCCATTGAGAGACTATTTTTTTTTTTAACTTCCCTTCAAAGGTGCACAGACTGCTCAGATGTTTGATCAGGGAAAGCATGGGAATCATATTTTTGCTCCTCTGTAACTTCTATTCTCAAGAAGTATAATAAATTTGGTGTAATGAAATAGAGTTGTATTTTTACAATTAGATGTGTTTGCATTCTTCCTTTCAGAAACATTTATTGTTTGTTGTTCTTTATGTTATCTGTCAGTAAATTCATGTGAGTATAATGGACCCAGGGATAATTTTTTTCAAGGATTTATATCTGGAGAAAATGCAAGCTGTGCCTGAATTGGTAACTTACACTCCATGATTGGCTTGCAATTGCAGTCCTCAACCAAGTCATAAACAGCTTGACAGGCAGTTTTACTTCTTGAAAGGACGTTCCTGTAAGAAAAACCCTCTAAATAAATGCCTCAAACATACTGCTCAAAATATAGAACTCATCAAATTGAATTCAGTCAGGACATTGATAAAAATGCTGCTTGATAAATCTAACAGTGCAAATGAGTGAGCAAATGACCTTGAGGAGCAGGAAGACTAATGGATGGGGAGCAGACAACACAGTCTTTTAAGACATCAGAGATGTGCTGTGAGAAGTTACGTTAAATGAATCTCAAGTCTGGGATGCTTTTGACTGTAAAACTTTATGTTGTGATCATTTCAAGTCATCCTCTGTATCGTAAAACTGGTATGCCACTGACAATAATGTATCTTGAAAATAAAAGTTCTGTTCTGGCTTTTGTTATTATTCTTGAGCCAAACAAGGATCTAAACAATTTACTTGCCTTTTTGTCTTCTGTTTTTGCAACAGGGTATTAGGATTGTAAACTGGGCTGGCCTCTAACTCTTAGGAATTCTGTCACATTCCTAAGGTTGCAAGCATGTGTCACTATGTCCAGGAAGGGACAGACTAGGATGGCTTTGCCTTGCCATCCTCCTGCCTCATCATCTGTAGCAACCATGTTAAGCTCAAACTTAACAAAATAATGCCAACAATGTTCCATTATGTTGAATTCAAACTGATGTTTATATTTCATTTGCTGCTTTTCTTTTTATATTCTACTATCATCCTTCCAATGTCATTGCTGTTTTAATATCTGACTCTAATGATAGTTATCAGGACTAGCTAATTATATCCCTCTATACAGAAGAAAACAAACCTTTAGTTACTAAAATTATAATGGCAGGAAAATAATTTAGAATAAATTCGGGTTAAAATGAGTTCTATTATGATTCTCTTTTATATTTATAAACTACTTTATAATTATCCAATATCATATATTCACAAATGTATTATTTTGTTGAAATGTTTAATAAAATTTATTAAGTATCCACCACACACTCACACTGTGCTTGGTGATGGACATGTAATGATTAATGTGAGGTCTTAGCTTTTCAAATTTTGTGGTCTTTTTAACCCTGCTCAGACAATACATAGGAATAGTACTATTAACTCAGGCTCAGGCTTTAGAATTCATGGATATTTTAGGCATTTTTAACTATAGCTCAGAGTTTTGTTCTATATACTCACACTTACTCAATTGCAATTCACAGAAATAAATTTGTATTGCCAAAAACATTAGAGATGATTTAGGTGATACATTCTTCTGGTAAACTGCATTAACACATTAAATATTCCCAGAGGTACTTCAGTGTAGAATCATTTAATTGAATGAGTTTCAGAGTATTTTCATCTGACTGATAATAGTATCAGGGTACAATGCATTACTGTCACAGTCATAAATTCAAGGACAAGACTCGCTAAAACTTTTGCTTAACACTGGCAAGATGAGTCGGCTGGCAAAAGTACTTGCTGCCAACACTAATCACGGATTCAAAGCCTGAGACCCACAAGGTAGAAGGAGAGAGCTGTCTTCACAAAGCTGTCGTCTGACCTCCACATGCACACCCATACCCATCCCCTCCCACACATACACGTAAATAAATAGGTGCAGTAAAATTACTTAGTCTGTTAAGTCCGGGATGGTCAAACACACCAGAACAGAACACATTGTGGATAACTCAATATTAAACGTACCAGACAGCAGCAAAGTCCATAAGCCACTCTGTACTCACCAGCCCCTTTTTGTCTTAGAAGAGATGTGTAAAGGTTAGGGTTAGTATTTTAAAAATATTTTATTAGGACTTGACTCCTTCAAATATTGCATGGAGTCATAGAATTTTATAGCCACACCACTGGTGCTTAACCTTTGGGAAAGGAATACCTAACATTATTGTATGTTGAGTTCTCTGCCACTGGGTAGATAGGTGAAAGGATCCAGTAGCTTGTGTGCTATATGCTACAGCACTATGCTACAGCGCCTAACTTTGTTCCCAAACTCATTCTGACACCACTGTCATACAATCGTTCTTAAAGATGCTTTCCCTGAAAACTTATGTGTCAGTTTTGTCTACAGACTGGAAAGTGCCTACCTACTGAACTGTGTTGCTGTAAAGGTTTAGTACAGTGTAACTTTACTAGATTAAAGGAATTGTTTCATTTCTATAAATTATTACATTGAGTTGGGTTAACTAAGTTAGAGTTCATGAAAACATTGGATTTTTTTTTATTTCATGTGCAATCTTAAAAAAAACCTAAGAAATATTAAATCTGGATATTTGATGTTGTGGTTATACATACCACTTATTTAAAGCGCCCTAAGTGATGGAATGGGATGAAATACTTGGTTTGCTCAGTGGTGGGAAACAATTAATGCTGGTATGGAAACATAAGCTCCAGGTGTGGAGTACAGAGGGTACAGTGACTGAGCAGTGCCATTTGTGGCCCACATCTACTACTGCCTGGGTGTATGATGCCATGTGACTTACTTAAGCATGTTAAACTCAAGTTTCTTTTGTCCATAAGGGGTGTGTATTTAGATTGCTCTACTTGCTTACAAACATTAGTAGAAATTATGCCCACTTATGTGAGACATTCTATAACCTAAAATTACCACACTCTAAGATCATTAGCATTTTGTTAGACAATAATAAGTAGACAGCTTCCCAAAATTATTCCAGGAAAGCTATATTAGAGTTTGATTTTTAAAGAGATAATGAAAATTTACTGGTGTCAGAATCCATGATAGGTTAGGTATTCTTTGGTATTCAAAACAAATAAAACAAAGCTCTTTGGTCTCACCTACTAATCTATCTACTTGTAAACAACACCATCAATACAAAAACCCAAAGACATCCAACCAAACCCTCTTGATATGTGCATTGCATATCCAGGTGACAATCATAGAAGAGGCTTAACACATTTTCCTTCATTAGCAAGAGGCAGGGAATAGTAGGATGGTGTCTTGCTCCCAGAGTACAATAGAGTGATGAGGAATTAAAGAGATTTCCATGAATCCTGCATTACTATAGGTGACACACGAGTAGCTTGATACACTTGGAGTTCTAGGAAGTGTTCCAGAGGTAGCTGAGACAGGCTGGAGTTCTATGGAGTCCATTTGGTGTGGACCAAATGGATAAAAGAGACAAATCATCACTCCCTATGACATTGAGGAGCAAAGACTGGATTCCCGGCTCTCAAAACATCTGGCCTTTCAGTGGATGCTAACACTGGTGGAAACACTGCAAACTGAATGGATTCCCTCCCACCATCCCAAGGCTTCACCGCTCCAGTTGACTGGAGCATAAGCATGGCACTAGAAGAAACAGCATTGTTTAACAAAAGACTACATTTTCCAAAGGAACCAAACTTCAAAAGTAGCATTGGGTTAACATAAAAATAAAAGCATATATTTTCCATTTGTGAATTACTAAACTAAGTGTCACAATCAGAGGTGGTGTGTGTGGAGATATAGACAGAAAAGTCAAGAACTAGAGAGAAGATCATGAGATCCAGAAATAACACCTTGGTAGAGATTAAGTATACGTATTGTCTCTCTAACCAATGAGCACTAAATGAATTTAAAGTATGTATAAATTTTGAGGAAGGAGGAAGGAACATAAAGGCTTCCCAAGGTCGTGGAACACATAGCTTACAACTGAGAGCCAAGTTTTCTAATAATTGTAATAGAAGAAAGTATAGTTTAATGACGGAAGCAAGGGAACAATTCACTCTGTCCGGAGGCCAAGATCCCTTTCTAACAATTGTGATATTGGCATTGAATCTTGCTGAATAAATTTTCCAGACTGAAACAAAGGCAGAAAAGACACAGAGTCTTGGGGTTTGATTTGTGCAAAGCATGGAGTTAGAGAGGAAGGTACTTGAAAAAAAAAACCCACTTTCAGGATAACCTAACCTCGTATTTGATTGGATAGTTAGAGATTTGGGGCTATTTCATATATTATGAACTAGAAAATACTTTGAATTTATCATACACTTAAAATCCTAATCAAAATAATTTAATGATGGTTGAGGAAGATGTCAAATAAAGTGGGCCTATAGCTCTGGAGACACATAACTTCAAATGTTTTACCCTTTAACTTGCCTGCTTATTTAATTCTAAGTTCTAACAAATAATTTTTGCTTTTGCTGTTTATCCTAAATTTTTCCACTGGCAAATTTCTAAGCAGCAACTTGCATTCCAAATATTTCTTAGTCATTTAATTTCACCACTTGACTTTAAAATTATTTGACCTTTGTAAGAGATTCCCAGCTCTCAAAAATATGTTTCTGTAATGAACGACTTCTTTTTAAAATATGTCACCATACAACTATAGTCCATTCATAGCTATTTAACCCACAGAGAAAGGGGCCATTTTACATCACTGCCATGCTACCCATTTAAGGTAAATATTATTAACATTAAGAAACTTTACAATCTCAAAATAGATTAAATGTATATAGTAATAACAACAGTAAGTAGACACACACACACACACACAAGATTTTTAATTCCTCCAAATTGTGCAAATAAGTCATTTAATTTCATGAGAAAAATTTCCAGTCCAATATCCTAAATATCTGTAGCTTTCAGAGGTCAAGTGTGTGTCAGTGATTATCTGGACTGAGTATCTGTCTGTTTTGGAGCAAGAATTTGTGTGGGTCTTTGATACCAGCCAGGAGCTTGCACAGAGTGAGTTGTCTTGGTGTCATGGCTCCTTATTGAGTAGTCAAAAAATTAGAGTAGAATATCCACACTGTAGAAGTATAACTCATCTCAAAGAGTGAGACACACTCTGCTCTCACCAGCGTGTTTTCCTGCCAGCCGATGCCAGCTGGGTCAGGGCAGTCTCAGTGAGAGCGTATTTCAGAGCTACAGAGCTGCTTGGCAAGGAAAAATGGATCTTGGCTGGACAGCCAGGTTTCCCTCCGACAGAAGGATTCAGTATCAAGAACATGTCCACATCTCCACAAGAAACAGAGATGATTGGTAAAAGTATTTAATGATATCTGCCAAATCGTTTGTGTCACTTACTTATATAGC